CAATTTCATTGGCAAAACAACACTTTTTGCAACTGCACTTACCCCAGCTCCTCCTGACCGATCAGCTCCTCCTGACCGATCATCACCGGCCGCAACTGCACCTGCCGCAGCTTACGAACTCCGCTGGACTGCCTCTTCTCCTCGTCGCTACAGCCTTCTCGCAGCAAATGAAAGATTCCCTTTCTTCAGCCTCTAACAATGGATTTGATTGCCTTTCTCCAGCAAAAGAAAAAATCCAAGAAAATCCGATTCCTTTTTTTTTTCAACCTCCATGGAATATTCCACTACACAGTTCAACAGTTTCCTTCCTTCAGCAAAGAGTTCCAGCAAGAGGGAATATTCCGTTGTAACTGCCTCCTCTGCGAATCCTCTGGAACCGCCGAAATCCTCCCGCGAAACTTCGCCACGAAATTTCTCTCGCGAGTAACTTCTACGCAGACGATCTTCCTTCTATCGCGACTCCCTTGCGATCTGTCCGAACCGAAGACCTTTTCTGCAACAATTCACCCCTTTGCCTCACTGAAACTGCCAAAATCCTTCTCCTGTTGTTCCTCCGCCGAAGCCCTGTCGTAGAAACAACCACAAACCATCTCTTCGCGCGTCCCGCCGAATATATCAAAATAATATAATCCAAGTTGTTGATTATATCCTTAGGAGACAAGTTGTGCTCCATGCTGAGCCACAATGCCATTAGACTTGTGTTTGATTGGTAGATCAAAAACCCAACTTCCTTGAGTTTGAGGTACATCAAATTCTACCAAAATTGCTTTCTACCAAACATATTTTTTTATTAACTTTGATGTAGGAGGTTGGGCGGGTGATAGAAATAGAATGGAGAAGGTACAAAATTTCTTTAGAATATAAGTGAGACATGTTTGAGTTTGGGTTACTATTGATGATATTTTGGAGGGGTTGAGAGATGCACAATAGGTGTAAAAATGTGTTAGGGGGGAAGTAGGAATTAAAATATGAATAGAAGATGGTGTTTTAGGAGAAGAGACTACAGTATTTGGCATATGCTGTATAGAAATTATTGTTGTCGTTGAGATGAAATCAGAGGTGTTTATAGGTTCAAGAATGTGTTTTCATCACATATTGATTATATTACTTTAACCAATTATAAAAAACTTCATTATTAATATTATTGTTCCATTTCATTAGAAGAGGAGAGTTAGCAGAGACTAAAGCAAGCAGGAGAAGACAAACTAAGTTTTTTTCGCTGGATCAGAATCCACCTTCTCTTGCTAGCGAGCATGAAGTGGTTATTCAGTCGTTATAGATTGGTCTTCGTGACAAATCCTCAATTAAACCCATGAAAACTCTATAAAATCTAAAAAAACTTTATTGGTAAAAAGAAAATTTCCGTATATGAGGGTATAGAGAAAGAAAACCTCATTGAATTGAGCATCTACGCTTTCCTCATTCAGGATTGGAGTCCGTGATGGAACATAATAAAAACTTTCACAATTGCTGGAAGGGCCATTTGTTGCCTGTGATGGAATGGAATAAAAACTATCGTACTCGTTGGAAGGGTCATCTGTTTTTTCCTCATCTGTATTTGGAGCATATGTTAAAAGAGGATGAACAACTTCAAGCTGGCAAGAGAAGGCAGATTCTGATCCAGTGAAGGTAACTTAGCTTGTCAGCTCCTGCTCGGTTCAATCTCTACTAACTCTCTTCTCTTGTAATGGAATGAAAGAAGAATATTAATAATAAAGTTTTTTATAATTGGTTAAGTAATTTAATTAATCTGTGATGAAAACATGCTCCTGCCCTTTAAATACCTCTAATTTCATCCCATCAGCAACAATAACTTCTACATAACATATACCAAATACACCTGTCTCTTCTTTTAAAACCCCACCTTATATTAATATTTCGATACCTACTTCCCCCCAAAACATATTTACAGAAACTGGGTATCTCTGAACCACTCCAAACTATCATCAATAGTAAACCAAACATAATTTGTCGCGCTTAAACCCTAAAGAAATTTTTAACCTTCTCCATTCTATTTCTATCATTGATCCAGCCTCCTACAACCAAGTTATTAAAAAAGGTTTTTGTTAGAAAGTAATTTCAACAGAGTTTGATAAACCAAACACAATTCTAATGACATTATGACTCAACATAATGCACAACTTGCGCCTAAGGATATAAGCAACAACTTTGATTATATTACTTTGAAATATTTAGTTATGTAGTAAAACTATCAACAATTTATATACTTCTTACGATGACCACTACTTTACATTGGAAGTCATTCAATTTGATACATCCAATAAACTTTTTGAAACAGTTAACTTGCATTGAGGTGATAAGAAGGGTTTTGACAAGTTATCAAGATAAGCTATAACATGTTATAATCATTGTTCCTTATGTCCAACAACTGTCTTTTTACGACCATCGTTTTGTTTCAACAATTTATATTACTTGCAGGAATGATACTGATGTGTGCTAGAAAATTCGCGGCGGTAGAGTAATGAATTATCGTCTTAGCGTTGCACGAGAATTCAGCACACACTCAGATGAAAATAAATCAAGCTGTGATAACACCATCAGTAAAAAGGGAAAAACCACGGGGCCTGACCCAGTTATAAAAATTCACTATACGATGATGATTACAAATGATGATAATTATAGATGTCCCTTATCCCACAGGCGAGAAAGAGTTACTAGCTTTCCACGGTATAACGTCGACTGATGACGTCTAGTAAGCGGTGGTTGACGGAGGGGAGCGGGGGCTAAAAACAATCGATGGCGGATGACGGTCGGTGGTAGTTGACAGAGGTCGGCGGTGATAGGCGGCGTTCAACAGTGGTCGGCGGTGGTCGACAGAAGTCGGCGGTCGTTGTCGACGGTCAGTGGTGGTCGACGGCGATCGACGATGGCGATGATGATCTTGGACTTGAACTCCTTCTCAAAGCCTCATCCCCCTTCATGTGAGGGGTGATGTCATATTTATAGTGTTTTGAGTGCAATTAATGCAGCAATATGAACCATTTTGATCGGACGACCCGGAGAGCTTCTCTTGATCAGATGATATTTGATGAACATTTGAGTGCCTTAACAAAGTCAAAATTGAGCAATCTTGGGCTCTTTGGATTCATCTTTTCGAGACGCTCGATTCGACTCTGAACTCGCTAGATTCGACATTCGTTTGACCTTTCAAATGCCTCTGGAAACCTTCCAAGAGTGGTTTGATGATTTGATCCGAGCTTGATTTGAATCGGATTGGATTGACTTTCATATCATTAGATCCGTCTCATCTAGCCGATCAGTTTGACTATAAGTTTGACGACCACTACTTTACATTGGAAGTCATTCAATTTTATATATCCAATAAACTTTTTGAAACAGTTAAACTTGCATTGAGGTGATAAGAAGGGTTTTGATAAGTTATCAAGATAAGCTATAACATGTTATAATCATAGATGACTCTCAATCAATGTTTGGATGTTTCTTGTTCAAAAAATTGCACCGAGATTCGTGCTGGTTCATTAAAATTTATTGCTGACGTATCAGATACCGATGTCTCTTCTTTCTCTTCAGTATTACTTCTCATATGCTCTGCGGTATGTTTCTCTACGGGCTTTTAATTATTTCTTGCATATACTCTGCGGTATGTTTCTCTACGGGCTTTTAATTATTCCATATGAACCACATTTAAAAATAGATTTGTAGGATTCTAAATGGGTCATAATCTAATTTCACTTTGGGCCATTATCTATTCATGTTTATTTTAATTGATCTTTTTGTATTGCATGTAAGAATGTCATGATCTTACCCATTTTTTTATTTATTGATTTTTTGATTTGTTTAAAAGTGAATATTAGTTCTTCAGATATTAACTTTTTATCTTTGACCAAGCAATTTACAGGCACCCTTAGGATATTGAAAATGACAATAAAATAAATGTCATGCAATGAAATTATGAATAATAGCATATCATATATATTCAAATTACATTAATTCTTTTATTTTAGATTCTGAACCATTTTCAATCATTCAAAATAATATGGTCCTCTCTAACGACAACGTATGTGTGTAACTTGTTTGCATTTTATTAATTCTCCTACTATAGCATAAATGCTTACGACTATATATATTTTATGTATTGGTATGATACAATCTTTTATAACTCTCTCATTGTTTGAATCTCTCTTGATACCCACAATAGTTCACAATCTATTATTCTTTTTGATAGGGAAATGATTGCAAGAGTTCACCATAATCTTAGTTCTCTTGTAACTTGTAAGATATAATGTCTGATGAACAAGATGGTATACTATTGCATGGTTTTTTTTTGTGTTTTTAGTTGATGAATCTCGAAAACTTATACTAGAATTGACAAAATCAAACCACTCACCTTCTAATTGAATCCAAAAATTATAGAAACCATTGAATAATTCCCTCATAGTACAGCACCGTTTAAAGATAAGAAACCAGAAGAGTGTTATGTTTGCATGTCAAACCTTACCTGTTGCTCAACCTCAGAAGCAACAACATCACGGGTCTATTTTTCTTCTGATTCACTTTCTTTGGTGCTGTTAGAACCTTCTTCTGAGGAGATACGCAACCAACTACCTATTTCGTCTAATCATTTTCAACATGAAAAGTAAAAAATCAAGTAAAAAGGAGCTAAAAAATAGTTAGCTAAAATGTTGATAAAATAAAAAAGTTGCGACGAGCGAGCACCTAAAAGTGGATCATCTTGGTCACCTAACTCAGGCATCTGACTTCGTAGCTCTGACGTGAAGTTAGAATTTACCATCTCTGGTTGTGTGTCGCCGATCATAATTGCATTATGAAGGCCTTCAGTAGTGCCAGAGCTATATTGCATAACATTACATAAGCTCTGAATTTGGCCAATTCTTGTAGTAGACTGAGCTCCAATTGTTGGGATAGAGTAAGGTCCAATTGGTGTCTCTGGTGGCAAAGTTTGCTCGTGAGTTTGTCCTCCTGTGCTTGTCATAATATCATGAGCTTGAGAAGTTGAAACTATAGGCTCATATTGTTCTACCCTCATTTGGTTACCCATCTCAAATGGATAACCTGGTTGAAAATGCTGCATGCAAAGTACTGAAATTAGATAAATGAGAGTAGAGGTGCCAAAAACTGACCAGACAGGTCATGTAGAATCGAACTTCAGTTGAATTTGAATTGAGTTGATTAATTTTTTAGTTGTGTTCTGGTCTAAAATTCTAACACGTTTAATTTTTTCCGGTCAAGTTTGTATCGACTCACCACCCAAAATTGACCCGTCAAACCAAAATTCAACCCAAAATTAACCCAAATCTAACCCAATAGCCCAAATTTGATCGGAATTTAAATCAACATTAACCCAATTTTGACCCAAATAATTTTTTTTCATATATATTAAAATGGTTATATGGGTTGGGTTTGAGGCAATTAGGTTGAAAGCGGATCAAGTTTGAGTTTTTTAATATTTGGGTTTGATTTATGTCAAGCAGCTTTGGGTTGTCGATTTCCAGTCAGAACCAAATGCAACCTTTGATTTGACACCTCTGAAAGAAAGAGTTAGAAAAATGATGTGTGATTAATGTAGGCAAAAACTAACTTGAAATATCATAGGAATTGGCCCATCTTGAGTTATATAAACAGCCGGTCCACAAATTACAAATCCCTGCTCCTAAAACAACGAGAGAGCACATAAGTTCATGAAATTTAGAAAGCAGTTTGTCATTGTTGCTTGGATAGGAAAGCTTTTGACGGAAAAATAACATACTGGACTGTCCCCCATGTGTAAGCACGTGGCTGCTCGACCAAGCTCTAGGATCATGGCACCCAGATGTTGCAGTGCTACACCTAACTGCCTTGCTGCAAACTGAGCCTGAATTCGCAGAACTGGGTCGGAGGAGCCAGTTGAATTTTCCAAACGTTCAGCTAGATTCTGTACATTTAGAATAATTAGAAAAATAATTAAGTTAGGCTGAATTAAAAAAAAGAAAGAAGGTACAATAAAGTTTGGTTAACATGTCCTCTGACAAATGACATGCTCCAATTTATTCCAAAATCATGGAAGATGAAGAAATTAGCAAACACAATGATCAAAAGAATAATAAATATTACATTGTTGGAAATAATATGATGAAGTTTAAGTTACTCTTTATAATTCAGCTTAAAATGAAGGATTAAAGGGAGATAAAGCACATACTCTGAGAGCCCAGGATGTATCGTTTGTCAGAAGTCGGTTTGTTCGGCCCAAAACAAAAGTAAAAAATTCAGGGGTAGGTACCGTTGAAAAATCTTCACTATGCCAAAACTCTGCTACTGTGCCCGTCCAACGCCCCACACGTTGAGTATCCCTCCATGGGTTATATCTCATTTGGAATACATCTTCCAACCGATCGATGTTATCGAAGATAGTTGTCAAAGCATCATAACGTGCTGGCTCAGGCTGAAATTCATAATAGGCAATTTAACACTAGGATGCAATAAATGTCTACTTGTGCATAATGATGAGAATTTTGTTTGAAGATCATTAATGGATTCAAATATGGTCTTGGATTGAGATCCGATGGAAGAAAAGGAACCCAACTATGAGTTGAAATCACAGACAAAAATTTTTCAAGCCAATTTTGAGCCATACGAATCGGCTCAAATTTCGTATATACACAATCACACTTTTGCATTTTATAAATTTATTTGTCTTCATTCATTTTAAGCTGGCTTAATCGAACTGAGCTAGCTTGTTTTGATTTTTGAGCTGGAGCTGATCAAAATAGCTCACTTTGAGCAAGCTCATTTCGATTTTGAGCTAGATTGAGCTGAATTCAATTTCTAACCAACCTGACTCAAAATCGAGTACAATGAGTTACGAGCCAATTTCAAGTCGCATTTAAACCCCTTTGTGCCAATTTCAAGTCAAACCAAGCTCGACTCGAAATAGGATTGTTCACAAGCTTAAAACTTGAAATACGTACCTCGATTAAATTTTCAAGTTCCGAAGCTTGCATAGGCTCAAACGGAAGGTAGGATAGATCCTGATCCAGCGGTATTTGGCTTCCACCTGCTGGGTCGTCTCCTTCAGTCCCGATGATGGTATGAGAACTTATTGCTTCAGCACCTAAATGTGAACCCGAAAGAAAAAAAACTGTTAGGAATAAATTACAAGTAAAAAAAGGATTTAACTAAGCATTCATGAACATTTTCTTCTGCGAAAATTAATTCAAACATGCACCTCTTTTTTTTCATGACATACTAGAGCTTTAGCATCATTATATAATTATTTATTTCATATTAAAAAAATTGAAATATTATTGAAAAGTTGATGCTCGCATGTATCAGTTATTCCTTGTTTATAATAATACTTCTTTTCTCAGATAACACAAGAACAATTCATGGCTATTAGATACAATACCGCTCATCTCGATGCAAATCTGAAAGTATTTATTCACAGAATGCACAGGTCTTTGTGTTGTTATTGATTTCGTTGTCTTTTTTCCTTGATTTTGTATCTTTTATAGTTTGCATTACAGAGCTCTAGGATTTCTTACATCATCATCATCATTACTGTTTATGTATGTAATTATAACATTTATACATATTCTACGGGCATGGTTTAAAGAACACCTTCAAATTTATGCCTCACTTTGGCCTGGTGAGGCATGCGTCTTAGTGAGGTTGAGGTACATCTATTTAAATGTGCCTAAAAAAATTTGGCTTATATGACTTAAAATTTTTAATTTAAAAGTTTAATATATAAAATAAATTTATTTTGCTATTTCTATACATCAAACCTAAAACAAATAGAATTGAGAACTTGAATTATACAAACCTTTTTGACTTCTTATCATACATTGCACTTGCAGTCAATGCTACTTGTTTTTAGGTAAATTGAGGATAGGGCGTAAAGGAAAAATCACTATTATGATAATTCTATGATGATCCACTAAATGATGAGAATGGGGGAGATTTTTAAATTCATAAATTATAATATCAATGATTTACCTATTAGTCAGATTGAAATTGGAGGGGGACAAGCGAAGAGATTTACTGTCATGACATTTATACTTAAACTTATGAACACAAAATATTTTAATTTATGATTATGGAATTTTAAATATTGACAGCAAATTTGCATCATCATCAAGCTGGAGAGTAGTGAGGGTTCTCATACTAGTATCAATACCTCAATATGTAGTTGCATAACTTTGCTAGACTATGAATCAGGTTGGTTAGATTGGAGTTTTGCTTAGAATAAGGTATAGTTTTGTATCACATATTAAAATTGTACAATCTAAAACTCAAGGTCCAATCCAAATGATAATCAATTTAGCCAAGCCAACTACTTCCCCCATCTCACTCCTACTAGCTTCAACAAAAAAGATATTGGAGATTGCTCTTTATCACCCAAAAAAGCCTAATTGAATTAAATAATACATAAGCATTTGTAATCCATAAAATTGATTATTTAGAATGAGTGATTCCAACAGAGAACTAGTTCAAGAAAGAAACTTAAACATGCCTAAATAAGCATTTGAAAGAACAAATTGTACTCTATAAAATAACCAAACATGCTTGAAACTATTAAAATATAAATTAAAGATTCTAAAAAAACGTTATGAAACTATTGAAATAAGTCAACTAAAATTAAAATCAAACTTAGGTTGTCTATTAGGCTTCCACCTGCTGGGTCGTCTCCTTCTGTCCCGATGATGGCATGAGAACTTATTGCTTCAGCACCTAGAACCCGAAATAAAAAAAAAATGTTAGGAATAAATTACAAGTAAATAAAGGATTTAACTATGCATTCATGAACATTTTCTTCTGCGAAAATTAATTCAGACATGCACCTCTTTATTTTCATGACATACTAGAGCTTTAGTATCATTATATAATAATTTCCTTCATATTAAAAAACTCGAAATATTATTCAAAAGTTGACGCTTGCATGCATTAGTTATCCCTTGTTTATAATCATACTTCTCTCCTCAGATAACACAAGAACAATTCATGGCTATTAGATACAATACCACTCATCTCGATGCAAATCTGAAAGTATTTATTCACAAAATGCACAAGTCTTTGCATTGTTATTGATTTTGTTGTCTTTTTGCCTTGATTTTGTATCTTTTATAGTTTGCATTACAAAGCTCTAAAATTTCTTATGTGTGTGTGTGTGTGTGCGCGACTATATCATCATCATTACTGTTTATGTATGTAATTATAACATTTATACATATTCTACTCACAAACACATAAATATATTGGGCATTGTTTAAAATTGCACAATAGTAGACACCTCAAAGTTTGTCTTAGTGTGATTTTGATAAAGAACACGTTCAAATTTATGCCTCACTTTGGCTTGGTGAGGCATGCGTCTTAGTGAGGTTGAGGTACATCTATTTAAATGTACCTAGAAAATTTTGGCTTAATGATTTAAAAATTTTAATTGAAAATTTTAATATATAAAATAAATTATATCTTGCTATTTCTCTACATCAAACCTAAAACAAATAGAATTGAGAACTTGAATTATACGAACCTTTTTGACTTCTTATCATACATTGCACTTGCGTCAATGCTACTTGTTTTTAGGTGAATTGAGGATAGGGCGTAAAGAAAAAAATCACTATTATAATAATTCTACGATGATCCACTAATGATGAGAACGAGGGAGATTTTTAAATTCATAAATTATAATATCAATGATTTGTCTATTAGTCAGTTTGAAATTGGAGGGAAGAGGTTTATTGTTATGACATTTATACTTAACCTTATGAGCACAAAATTTTTTAATTTATGATTATGAAATTTTAAATATTGACAACATATTTGCATCATCATCAAGCTTGAGAATAGTGAGGGCTCTCATACTAGTATCAATACCTCAATATGTAGTTGCATAACTTTGCTAGACTATGAATCAGGTTGATTAGATTGAAGTTTTGCTTAGAATAAGGTATAGTTTTGTATCACATATTAAAATTGTACAATCTAAAACTTACAAATGTCCAATCCAAATAATAATCAATTTAGCCAACTACTTCCCTCATCTCACCCCTACATTTAGCTTCAACAAAAAAGATATTGGAGATAACTCTTTATCACCCAAAAAGGCTTAATTGAAGATAAGCATTTGTAATCCATAAAATTGATTATTTAGAATGAGTGATTCCAACAGAGAACTAGTTCAAGAAAGAAACTTAAACATGCCTAAATAAGCATTTGAAAGAACAAATTGTACTCTATAAAATAACCAAACATGCTTGAAACTATTAAAATATAAATTAAAGATTCTAAAAAAACGTTATGAAACTATTGAAATAAGTCAACTAAAATTAAAATCAAACTTAGGTTGCTACTTACATCATATTTGCCCAGCTTGAGATATAAAACGCTCTAATAAATTGAATGTATCATCACAAATAGGTCTACTTTATAAATTTACAAAATGGCTTTAACATCCACCATCAATTGTGGACATAATTTAAACAACAAAAAATAAAAAAAATTAGAGAACAAAAAATAAAAAATTTTACATGTATACCGAGTTATTGGATACTTAGCAGAAGTAGAATTTTTTACATAACAACAAAAAGTAGGTTCTTCTTAAAATTTTTACATGTATGTTTATAACAAAAAATATAATTATATACATGTATACAAAGTTTTGGATACTCAGCAAAAATAAAAATTTTTACATAGCAACAAAAAAATCTTTTCAGATAATTATAACAAAAGATAGAAAATTTTACGTGTATACTCAGCTTAATGATAACTACAGAGTCTATTTTTAGTTGATATGTTGATTCTTATGAGTCTAAATTTTGATTTTCAAGTAGTTGATTATTGCATTCACTCCTACAACATAAATAATGGTTGCTACTAAGTTATTAATTCTATAAATATAGACTTTGTGGTTCTTATTCAATTAGTGCTTGTTGTAGAAGGAGATGCTTATGAATGGATAAATAAATCCTTTGTTTCTTTTAATTTATTCTTGATTGTTCTGTTTCTTTTGGGTTCACATTCAGGTGTTGTAATGGAAAGTTCTCATACCGCCATCAGGATTGAAGCAGACATCCCAGCAGGTGCAATTCTTGAATATGAATGCAACCAAATTTGACATCATAATAAGTTATTATCCAAACCAATTAACACGAGTATGTGTTGGCACATATATAGCATATATTTAAATACTAATAATAACAAAATGTCTACATACATGATTAAAATAAAGATAATAAATTTTTTTTAAATAAATAAATAAAATAGAGGCATCATAGTGGTAGCTTCAACACCCCAAAACATGTGAGGTCCACACCACTTGAAATAACAACAATAACAATAATAAATAATTTTTAATAATGCTAGTGTAGAATAATAATACTTTGGGTAACTTATCTTCTTGAATTGACACATAATCATAGTAAATATCTCAATGATTTAGACTATTTGTTCGGTTGAATTGGGAGTGTAAGAGACGAAGAGGTTTATTGCTATGATTTTTTTTAATGTTATTATGTTATTTATGATTTATTTTTTTATTAAATTAATTATTTAATTTCTAGACTTTCATTCCATAACATGTTGATATTTTTGTCTTCTCTTATGGACATAAAATGCGTCAATGCATGATTGTGCAATTTTATATATTGGCAACAAATTCTCATCCTCTTCCAAACTTGAGAGTAGTGAGGGCTCCCACACTAGTATCAATACCTCAATTTGTAATTGCAAGTCTTTACTAGACTATGAACCATGTTGTTTTGATTGAATCTTTACCTAGAATAACATCTAATTCAACATTGCACATTAAAATTTAATAATATAAAACATAAAGATCCAAACAAAAAAAAAATCAACAATACTAAGCCAAATATCTCCCCCTACCCTACCCCAACATTTAATTTCTAGACTTTCATTCCATAACATGTTGATATTTTTGTCTTCTCTTATGGACATAAAATGAGTCAATGCATGATTGTGCAATTTTATATATTGACAGCTAATTCTTATCCTCTTCCAAACTTGAGAGTAGTGAGGGTTCCCACACTAGTATCAATACCTCAATTTGTAATTGCAAGACTTTACTAGACTATGAACCATGTTGATTTGATTGAATCTTTACTTAGATTAACATCTAATTCAACATTGCACATTAAAATTCAATAATATAAAACATAAAGATCCAAACCAAAAGAAAAAAATCAACAATAGTAAGCCAAATATCTCCCCCCACCCTACCCCAACATGTAGCTTCCAAAAAAAAAAAATCTAATTGAAGCAAATCACATAGAAGCAGTTCTAATCCATAAAATACACTATCTTGAATGAGTGATTCAAACAAAGAACCAGTTCACGTGCCAAAATAAGCATTAGGAAGAACAAATTGTACTCTATTAAGGGACTAAATCACATGCATGCTTGAAGCTATTAAATTTAAAACGAAGATTCTAAAAAATTTAATGAATCATTGAAATAAAGTCAATTAAGAATAAAACAAGAACTAACTTGGGTGTATTTTTACTATTATTCTATCGTTTTAGTTTGTTTTTAATTTTGCGATTTCTGCATCACATCTGTCGAAGCTTCATCTCCTCTTCTGTTGCTCTCATTACAACGTATTACTTAGGTTTGTAAAGAACTTATGTAAAGCTTGATTGTTAGAGTAGTATTCTATTTAAAAATTTGTTTGTTTCAACTCATAAGCTAATTGATATCTTTTTTACTGTCTTCTAAAACTTTCAAAACTTGGAAAATATGTAGAACACTCATCCACATTAATGATATTGACGTTTTGGAAGATAAAACTGAATTAATGATACTGGAAAGTCTAAATAGAGTGAATATTTGCTAGTAAACTTGTGAAGAAACAGAAATTGTCATCTGTATAGGGGTGTACATAAGTCGATCTGACTCGAGCATAGCTCGTTAACGAGCTCACGAGTCGAGCTTATCGTGCCACAAGCTCGAGCTCGAGTTCAAACTGAAGCTATTTTAGATCTAACTTGTCCCAACTTGGCTCGTTGGCTCAGAAGCTGGCTCAATTAGGCTACCACTAGTTATTTCAATACATATTTGGGTGAGCTACATTGCATCCTCCTCCTTCGTTCACCAATACTTTATCTGGTAAGCTCCCATAAAAAAAAAAAATAAAATTTTTAGCTCGAAGTTGTGAGTTGACTGCTACCACTGTAAAAAAAAAAATTTTTTTTAGCTCGAAGTTGTGAGTTGACTGCTACCACTACGAGCAGAGCTCCAACTCACAATATGACAAACAATCTGAGTTCGTGTTTGACATGGCCAGAGCTTGACTCATTTACACCACTTGATCCACATTACTCTTCATTTCTATTTCCTTTCTCCAAAGATATCTCACGATTCCGGTTTTAGGAAGCATGACATCAATTATTATAAACTACTACTGATTAGTCAAGTGGCAGAAGACAAAACTTTATACCTCTTAGCCTTCTGCACAATACTTGGTTGGCCTGTTCAGTGTGTTGGGTTTAGTGGAGCCCAGGTCCACTTGTAAAAATTAATTGAACTTCCATATTTCCTCTGCATTATTTCTTATTTTATCAGGCAATGCTTTCCTAAAGAGGACCCAACTCATTAATGCTCTTCCCGACACCCTCTGAAAATTGCGATTTTGAACATTACCTTTGCTGGGCCGAATTAAGGCAAATTATAATTAATCAATATTACTTAATGCCTAAAGTTCCGCCAAAGATAGCTTCTCTCGCCTTCTGCTTCCCCGATTTGTACCACTTCAGCAATTTGGCTTTGTCTTTAAATGACCCAAAAGGTATGCTGAAAAGTGCTTGACATGGAGTAGGCTTCCTCTCTCATCAATTTGTTTGTTGTGAGGTTCTACAGAACAAAATAAACAGCTCTCTGTTATTTCCTTGGGATATCTCCTCTTCGACATTGGTAGCTTTCTCGGTCTTCTTCTTAGGTACTGTTGCTCACTGATAGTGAGAGAGAGGAAAAGACAATGAGGAAGGGAGAGAGAAAGAAGCTTGGAGCTCTTATTCCTTTCTTCTTCTTCTTCGGTGTTGGTGCTCATGGGTAGAGTGAGAAGGGAGGAGAGAGAGATGAAGAGAGAGAGAGAGAGAGAGAGAGAAAGTTGTTTCTTTTAAGTTGACGTAATCGACGGTGCAATTTCTCAAAGTAATAAAATCCTCTGTAGCTTCGTGGACGTAGGCAATTTGTCGAACTATATAAATCTGTGTTCCGCAGTGTTTTCTGTTTACGAATTTCTCATTTTAATTTTTCACTTTATTGCCATCGTTTTTCACAACAACTGATATGAGAGTTGTGGTTTTGGATCTAAGAAAAAATGATGGTTGGAAATGAAATGATAGCATTGGGGATCAAGAAGTGTAATGCCATAGATTTTGATTACTGGAGGATGCAGATAGAGTACTACCTCTATGAGACTAAACTTCATCTTCCGTTACTGAGAAAATGATCAGACAAGAGGGATGAGACTGATTGGAATCTGTTGGATTGACAGGTTTTGTAGGTTATTCGATTAACTCTATCGAGATCCTTAAACTTCATCTTCCGTTATTGAGAAAATGATCAGACAAGAGGGATGCGACTGATTGGAATCTGTTGGATTGACATGTTTTGTAGGTTATTCGATTAACTCTATCGAGATC